ATATATGGCTCATCCTCTTCTTCTTGTGGCCTATCATTGAATTCCATGGCCAATCACTCCTAAATCACCAAAAAGAAAGAAAAATTGTTAGTTAAAAAACTGTAAAAAAAATTGCTTAAGACTAAAAACTAATCCTAAATCCTTAGGTAACACAATTGCTCCCCGGCAGCGGCGCCAACTTGATTACAAGGTTATTTAACCCGATAACTTAACCGAAGTAAAGTATATGCGGGATCGATCACAAGGAGCAATGGTACACTAAATACTTGCGAGACTCGTTCTTAGCTAAAGCGGAAAGGGTTTTTGTTTGGTTTTCAGTTTTGTAAATGCAAATAAAAGAGAGATTTAAACTTATGAATCAAAGACATTGGGCTGGAGGGTAATTTCAGAGAATCAATGAATAACAAATAAAAGCAATAAGGAATTCAAACTTGAAGAACCGTTCTTGAACATGAACAAAAATTTAGACTAATTCTCTCTCAAGACATTAATCACTAAATTCAACTATTCAATTACTAAACTCTCATTTGGAATTTCATAGCCAAATTCGCATTATCAAACAGGTTCATTTGGTTAACAAAACATTATATGCTCAATTTACATTCATTCAGGCATTTTATCGAACATCTCTGAAACACATAAAAGCCTAAGTTCTAAAACAAGGTGATCAATCCTATTCAAGCAGTGAGAACATGTAAATTGAAGAACCTAAAGATTAAGAATTCGCTAATACGTCCAATCTATCAAATCATTGAATTCTCCTACTTAGAACTCTGAAACCCAATTAAGAGACTATTCAAACATAGCAAAAGAGAAAACAAAAATCATAGATGAAGAAAACATGATGAAATTGCGAATATAATAAGAAAGGGTTTAGAAATCTTCTCCAAGTGTCAAGAGGATGGATTCTTCTCCCAAAAGTTATTTAGAAACCAAAGAACAATGTTTAGAACTTAGAAAAGTGAAGGTTCCTCCTTAAAAGTCGAGCCCAGGGTATAAAAACAATAAGAGACGAGTTGGGTCGGTTCTGAAGTGTTTCGGATCGAATATGGGCCAAAAATGCGTCAGAGGTAAGTGACCGATCGAACCAAATGTTAGACTGATCGGTCTAATGCTCCCAGGTTTTACTTCTGCATCAGCTTCAACAACTCGTCAGAATGACCTATCTTCACGAAATCGGGTGTAACTCGTGAATGCACCGTTAGATTTCCTTGACATCACTTGGAAATGAAAGCTAACATCTGTCTCCATTTTGTGTCAAACTATGAGAAAGATATAACGGTGTAAATTTGTTCATCTGACCCCAAACATCTGACAATTCTACATGAATCTGCATCTCCAAATGTGTGTTTGCATCCCAAAACGGCTCGTTTTATTCCAAAGCAACCTAAAACCTGTGAAGACTCAAAAATGTACTAAAAGACTCTTAAAACACACTTTGACTCAATAAAATTTATAAAATGAAAGAGAAAAGAAAGATTTAAAACCGATAAAAACACAGTATATCACACACCTAGTACACTCCTCATTATCAACTTGTATTGTTTCAGTGTAGGTTGAGCTTGAGCTTGAGAGGATTTTGAGACTGGAATGTCTGCAGCCGGGCTAGGAGTTGCAGGAGTTGCACATGGAGCAAAGATTTCAGTGGCAGCGCTGGTAGAAGTAGTGTAATCTAAGTCTGTTACAGGGCTAGAGACTCCTTTCAACCAAGTTGTATACAGAGGTGTTGGTGAAAATTGTTTACTATTGCAGTAAGTTGTAGCAAAGGGGAATGATTCCTCATCAAACAAGACATGACGACTAAGATAAACACGGCCTGTTGGGGGGGGGGGTAATAGCATCGATAACCTTTATATTTTTAGTATAGATCGAGGGTCAAACATGTTTGCAACATAAGACCCCGGAGTAGGAAAGCAAGCACAACCAAATATTCTTAAAGCAGGGTAGTTTGGAGATTTACCAAGCAAGGCTTCATAAGGACTTGAGTTGGTAGCCATAGCACTTTTAGGAAGAAGGTTGCAGAGGAAATTTGCAGTGAAGTATGCTTCAACCCAGAAAGTCTGTGGAGTTTGACTCTGAAACATGAAGGAGAGAGCCATTTCAGTTAATTGCTTGTGTTTTCTTTCAGCAATACCATTTTGTTGAGGAGGATGGGGACAAGAAATATAGTGTTGAATGCCTGACTCTTGAAGATGAGTAAGAAATCTTTGACTTATGAATTCACCACCACCATCAGACTGAAATATGTGTATTTTTTGTTGCAATAGATTTTCAAGAAAGAGCTGGAACTTGATGAATATTGAACTGAAATCAGATTTTCTTTGTCATGGATAGAACCAACAATATCTTGAGTAGTTTTCTATAAACTCCAAAGAATCTAAAAACCTTGAATAGAAGAAACAGGAGAAGGAACCCAGAGATCACAATGAAGTCTCTCTAGAGGTCTATAAGCGACAAAAGTGGAAGAACTAAATGGCAATCTTGAACTCTTTCCAAACTGACATGATTCACACACCTTGCTGGTACGTTTATTGACTTGAATTGCCTTATTTACAGGTAACAGTTGGACAACTTGAGCATTTGGATGTCCTAGTCTTTGATGCCAAACCTCATCAATTGTTTTGATTTGTCTTGTAGAATAGAACATTTAGAACTTTTGCCTTTGATTCTCCAACTTGTAGAGACCATCACTTTCCTTTCCCTTTGTTAGAACTTGATGGGTTTCCTTGTCCTTGATAACAACATCATCAAAATCATATGTGAAAGAACATGGGTAATCTTTAGTCATTTTCAATTCTAACAAAAGAGTCTTAGTTATTTCTGGGCAAACCAAGACATCATAAAAGGGAAGGTTACCTAAAGTTAAGGGAAGATTATCTGAGCCAATGTGGGTGATTGGAAGAAACTTCCCATCACTGTCCATGACTGTGTCTGTACCAAAGTATGGCTGAGCTTGTTGAAGTCTCTGTGTTACAGAGAGTTATGCTTTTATACAAATATACTGAATAATCATTTACCATCGTCGCTTGATGACAAAAGCTCAAATCAGTTCTTTTTCCTGAATGGAGTACGGATTGAAGGCGAGGACTGCTCTCAACTTTTTCAATTTTGTTTTGTTCTGCAGAGAGCTGTTGCACAGTCTTGCGCTTGAGCGTGTGGTCATGAGACACTTGAGCCTTTGGGCTTGTATTGGGCTTCATATGTTTTCGGCCTGTTGTCTGAGGGATGTCGTTTTGCGTTGCAAACTTAGTCTGATTTGCATACTTGCGGATAGATACTACTCATACTATTTTTGAAGACTAGCTCTTGTGCCCTTTGCAAATCTTCCCTGTTATTGTTTTGGTCACAAACTCTCGGATGTGACGAGGGTCGAAAAGTTTTTATTATTGTCTATCTGTAATGTGCTTTTTTTATTGTTAACTCAGGATAAATCCTCAGACCTATGGAAGGATCCGAAACTAATCACTGAGGAAAGTGCAGCCCACATATAGATCCTCTCTCCGGATCGAAATTGGCCAAAAGCAAGAACCATGTGGCCACATGATGGATAGCGATTCAGATATAGGAAAAATTGATCTTTGGCCTAAACCAACAGGGCCACTCTTCCACCGGATAGGAATCACTAGCCCACCATCATATCATTATTTATAATGTACTTTTGGACATAAAGAAGTGACATTCAATTTCTTTCTCTGACCATCGTCACATTATTTATATTGTGGTTGCTCAAAACTAATCTGGGAATTGATGAGTTTTGTTCTACATAACATTTGTTTTTTTTTTTTCAAAATCCATCATGAATACTTGGATATATATATATTTACTCAGTGGCAGTTTGTAATGAAAAAGAATAGCTGAGAGATGTTCGTTAATGGGATTTCTATATATTTTTTGAGTTCCAATGAAATGATAATTTGGAAAAATTACAATGAACAATCGTCACATTTAGTTATGTAACAGTGCGAAAGATGTATAGCCTTTAGTTTAAAACCTCTTACAGTAGTTAGAAAAAAGTTGATAGGGGGTCTTCTGAGATATCATAAATTAATTTTAAATTTTAATGTTTTTTTTTTAACCCTTAATTTCATTAACTTTGGAAATGGTCTACATGTAAAGAGTTAATCAGACAAGATGGCACATAATAATCAATGTTTTAATGGCAAAGAGTTCATTGTAAATTTTAATGTTTATTTAGAAAATAATCAATTAAAATGAAGTAACTTGCCATGTCATACTATATATAAAAATAAATCAAAACTAAAATTATTTTAAAAAAATAGATTATGGAAACAAATTCTATAGGACTGAACCCAAGTATTGCTCTTTGCTTAGGGTGACTTATATATATTTATGATTTACTGTAAAATCTTCCTAATTCTTACCTAGACCATAAGATTTAGAAAATATATATTTCTAAGTAAATTCACTAAAATCTCTTAAACTCATTACAAACCTAATCCTTAAAATATTTTCAATAATAAGAGATCTTTTTAATCACTAATTCAATAAGACAAGATTTTAAAAAAATTAATGATTAAAAAAAATATATTTTTTACTTTTAAATATGTCATTGAATATTATAAGATTTTTTTAATACCCTTAAAAGCTTTGACTGCCTAATCAAAAGTCAAAAACTAAAGAGGAAGAATAAGTTTATTGTAGCTCTTAAGAAAATTAGTCCTAAAAGTTATGTTATCTCTCATATACATGTTTTGCAGCCAAAAAACTCATAAATACCACTGGTATAAATCTTTAAAACTAATTTTTTTTTTCAGCTACAGTAATCATTTGCTAAATTTATAGAATAATATCATAATAAGATAATATTCAATATCAAATATTATGAAAATCTTATTTAAAGTAAGTGACAAATCTCATATGGTTGTTGTGTATAAAGAAAGTTTCAAATACACCTAACGCAGACAAACACAAATACAGACATATATATTTTACAATAGTAAAAAAAGACAAAAATACTAAAATTAGTCTCTATATAGAAGCCTCTTACAAAACTTTGACTCTACTCAGAATCAAAAACACACACACACACCAAAAAAAAACAAAGAAGAAGCAAAAACTAAAGGACTTTGAGATGGAAAACGGAAACTCCTCCTCCGGCGACAACAAGGCTACACCAAAACCGATCCGATGCAAAGGTTAGTGAAGATGAAACCAAGTTTAAGTATGCGTTGACCGGCACCGTATTAAAACGTTGACTTTATTTATATGTGTTTGTAATGGCAGCTGCGGTTTGTAGGAAGGCTGGTGAGCCTTTGGTGATGGAAGAGATCATGGTTGCGCCGCCGCAGCCTTACGAGGTTCGGATTCGAGTCATCTGCACCGCGCTATGTCACAGTGACGTCACTTTCTGGAAACTCCAAGTAAGTGTAGTACTCTCTCTTCTCATTCTTTGGTTTAGCTGTTTAGGCAATTTACATATTAAAACTGGTTTCAATGAATGTACGTAGAAATCGATATGTTTTCTTGTCGTATATGTGATAATTAGGATAGATCCAACGTTATTTCTTAAATCTTAACTTATATATCAAAGACACAAATATTGACCCTAACTAAAACGTATCATATGATTAATTGTTTACTTTCTAAGTAAATTTCATGGATTCTCAAAATGTTTAAAAAAATTATTTTACATTATAACTTTTATAAGTTAATATTTTGATAGATCTGTATATTTTTTTGATCTCAAATAATTTTTCTTTAATGTAGTTTATATATAATATATCGATAAATTAATAAAATATTATAATTTAGATATTATTGATTCATAAATTTTTTACTGTATACTCAAATGATGTTCTTGGTAAAAGAAACTAAACAGACTTCAATATCCCCAATATTGCCAGGAATCTATTTTGTATTTTTGCCAACTTAGAAAAAACAGGTAGATATATTTATCATCAAGGCGTTTTAAATATTTTTATATTTGTGGTCGTTGATACTTAACAGTCAGAATCTTATAATAAAAGTTTGGTAGGGCTTTTACAATTTACAAAACCGGCTTTAATATTCTACGAATTTAGATAGATCCAACATTATTATATATCTTAATGTGACACAAAGATTGACCCAATTAGTTCACGGGTTGACCAATAAAAAACTTAACAAATGTTAACTTAAGACTTTTTTTCTTCTACGACAATTCTAATATTTTAATAGCAAAATGTACTTCAATGTTTCTAGTAAAAGAAACAAAAGACACCAAAAATAATTTAAAAGTATATAAAAAAATATGTTCGTTTCGTCACCATATGTATATGCAATTTTGGCGAACGCAAATGTTTTTGTTATTGATCGCCGAATGTTGTGGTGATGGCAGACACAACGTTTTGCGATTATAAATTTTGAAAGTCAATTTCAATTAACGATCAAAAATATTGCGTTTGCTGCTGCGGTAACCTTATGTGTCGATCAAACGGACATGTCATATTTATAGATTCAATATTAGTGTCTCTATGCTCTTTTGTTTTGTTGCCAACTATTGCTGACTGACATGATTTTCATATTTTAAAAATTTGTGGTCGTTGTTAACAGTTTTTGTCATCTTTCCGCAGGTTCCTCCGGCCTGCTTCCCGAGGATTCTAGGCCACGAGTCAATAGGGTAAGCCTATGTATATTCAATATTTCACATCCACTTAACATTTGCTACTGAATATCTTGCTTAAATAGATAAATAGATAATTTTTAAAAATGTTTTGGCAAATTCTGTTTATGAAAAGTAGTTTTACAAGTCTTGTTTTCTTTAGACTATCTCCAATTCATCTCCATTCTCGTAATAAAGTAGAGCAATTTGCTTGTATCCATTTCCATTTCTAGAATTACGATTTTCATTTTTTTGCTATATTTGGAGACTTCAATTTCTAATTTACTATAAAATTTGGAGATGTGCTCGTCGCTAGTGGCTCGTGGGTAGCAAATTAAGCATGGGTCAGTGCTTGTGCCCTACGAGCTCGAGCGATCGAGCACACTTACCAACCAAAAAAAAAAAAAAAAAATTTGGAGATCTTTTTTCTTTTTTAAACTCCAAAATTGGTGAAGGGTTGGAGCAAAACCAAGCAACTCCATTTTTTTTTTTTTTTAAAGAGAGAAATAGGTTAGTAGTGTTCTTAGTGCTAATTTCTCCATTTTATTTCAAACCTCAAGTGGAAGGTTTTAGATATTAGAACAAATAGTATTTTCTTGCCTTTTTTAGTGGTATAACGTTTTGAGACTTTCATTGACTAAGATAAGATGTATAGAGACATCCATTATCGTTTAGTCAATATCAACACAAAAATAAAATTTTATAGGAATTTTTGTTCATTAAGTAATTATAGATGTTTATGTATGAATTTTTAATAAACAGTTCTTGGATTCCATAAATTCACATTACACCACTAGGAAAGAAAAGAACACTAGGTGGTTACTGGTTAGCAATATTCTATTTAATTTTCTTCTCATTGAACATTTTGCATAAACTTAAATCTTTTATTTATTTTAAAGAAAGAAAACAAAAACAATTTATTTCCTCTATCCTTTTCTCTAGAGCTAACTTTCAAGTGATATAAGAGCCTCATTTCAAACCTCATGCACATGGGAGGTATCAACAAAAATGTTTGTTGTGTACTTCTTTAGTCGGGTAACGTCACGAGACGTTCATTTAATAAGTTAGATGTATAGAGGCATCCATTATTGAATAGACACAACACAAACATAAATAGTTATATAAAGAGTATTGAAAAATATCCCAACAAAACAAAATTATTTATAGTACTTAGTGAGAGCATTATTTATAATTTAGGTTTATATCAAAAATTTAAAAACATAATATTGAAAGTAGATGTCTTAAACACATAATCACAACTTTTTTATGTTATTAATTTGGTATCTATATATATAAAGTTAGCTTTTTCTCTCTTCTCATGATACCACTTAAGCATCCACCTAAGCCACATTTTTTTAAAACATTAAAATAAATTTAAAACATTCATTTAGTGCATATTTATGTTACTTATTTAATTAATAGAAAGTTTATATAAATAAAAATAAATTAGGAAAAAAAAATGAAATGCTAAAATAAGAAAAATAATACTTTAATTTTTTTATTAGTGGTAATAATATAATTCAACTTTCATTTTAAATTGATCATAATTTAATATTTTAAATATGTTACTGAGTTTTAGAATGGAAGTAAAATTTAAATTTATGGTAGACTAAAACAACATTTATGTAATTGTATATATAAAATTATAAAGAGGAAAAAAAAATGAAAGTGAAATATTAGTTTATAACATGATCAAAAAGAAAAAAAAATGATATTTCATAAATTGAATCAAGTGCTTTTAATCCAAATTTGAGTATTGAAAGATAATAATTAAAAAGAAAATAATTATAATATTTTTTGAAAATCAATTAAAAATAATAATAAAATATCACAATATGAATAAAAAATCAACGAAACAAAATTATAAACCTCCCGCGCGGGGCATGGATCAATTGCTAGTTATATATATATTTTTGGGTGGATATATATGATTAGAGTGTGTTGATTTAAAAGTTAACAATAATTTCTTTATATTAAGCTTTATGAAATAAAGAGTGAAACGTGTTTATGTTTGATAAATTGATTAGTAAAAAAATTGAATACACTAAAAAATAAAATGGTGTAGTGTTATATAAATTGAAATTTTAGAGACTCTAACATTACAATTGCTACTGGTGAACTAACATTTTCTATAAGTTACTTATTACATTATTTGTTTTGTAATTAAAATGTTATTTTTGTGTTACTGTTTAACAACTTTTGGTTATTAATTCTTAACTGTTTTAGTATTATAACTTTAAATATCAAACAAATGTTTTTGATTTTGCAGAGTGGTGGAAAGTGTTGGTGAAAACGTAACGCAAGTGGTAGAAGGAGACACTGTACTACCAACGTTCATTGCTGACTGTGGTGAATGTGTTGATTGCAAATCTCACAAAAGCAACTTGTGTAGCAAATTTCCTTTCAAAGTATCGCCATGGATGCCAAGATACGAAAATTCAAGCAGATTCACTGACCTCAATGGAGAAACTATCTTTCATTTCTTGAATGTCTCTAGCTTCAGTGAATACACTGTTCTTGATGTCGCTAACGTTGTTAAGATCGATTCTTCGATACCTCCTAGTCGTGCTTGTCTCCTCAGCTGTGGAGTCTCTACCGGTAAATCACTAGTATAGAGAAAAAAAAAAACGTTACTCAAAGTTAAATACTCTTTGATTTTGATGAAGTGACATTGGTTTTTCTTTAGGTGTTGGTGCTGCTTTGGAGACTGCCAAAGTTGAACAAGGATCAACTGTTGTGATTTTTGGACTTGGTTCTATTGGATTAGCGGTAAAATGACTATTTCTAGTAATGATCATGTAGTAATAAGTCTTTCTTGATTACGAGTTGCTAAAATGGATTAGGGTGTGGGTGTTACTAGGTTGCTGAGGGTGCAAGACTTTGTGGTGCCTCTAGAATCATTGGTGTGGATATAAACCCTGCCAAATTCCAAGTTGGTTAGTGATTTTTCTTTACTAAATAGTTTATATTGCTTAAAAGTCCATACCTTATTTTCTATATATGAAAAATGAAATGATAATAGAATTGCTTTAACTTGAACATCATCTTTTTACAGCCCAAAAATTTGGAGTTACCGAGTTTGTAAACTCGATGACATGCGGAAATAAGCGTGTTAGCGAGGTAATATCACATAGTATATATAGATCAATGGGAAAAGATAATCATGTATAAGTTTTATAATTTTGTGTTTAGGTGATCAATGAGATGACTGGTGGGGGAGCAGACTATTGCTTTGAGTGTGTTGGAATTAGTGCTTTGGTTCAAGAAGCTTATGCTTGCTGTAGACAGGTATTGTCACATTAATCTTATTGTCGCATTAATCTCGACCTAAAACCAAATTAGAACTAGATTTAGAAATACATCGAATAAGTCGAAGAAGGTTCGAGTATTTTAACTTCTTTGTATAAACAACATCTAGGGATGGGGAAAGACGATAACTTTGGGTGTGGACAAGCCGGGTTCACAGATATGTTTAGATTCGTTTGATGTTCTTCACCATGGGAAGACATTGGTGGGTTCGTTGTTTGGAGGTTTGAAGGCTAAAACACACATTCCCGTTCTTCTCAAACGCTATTTGAGCAATGAGCTTGAATTGGATAAGTTTGTGACACATGAGATGAAATTTGAGGACATTAACGACGCGTTCCAGCTACTCATTGAAGGGAAATGTATCAGGTGTGTCTTGTGGATGGGCTAAATGAATTGACTTATTTGATATTTCCTATCTTTTACATTAATGTCATATGTTTCATGTTCAACTATTTTTATTGGTTTGTAATCAGAACAAGCAAATTACCAAAGAGCAAGCAAAATAAAATCTCAATGGGTTGTAATGAAACATGCAAAGAACAAGACAAACTCAAAGTCCTATATGAAATGTTTAATGCAACATTTCAAAAGTAATTATCAAGGTAAAGTAAACTGAAGTTAAAGTGAAGCAATATAACATTATAAATTAAAGTAAACATATATGCATTTAAATAAGTTAATATCTTTGAATGTTTCTTTCTCCTGTTCTTCGCAAGAATACCAATTTATCTCTTAATTATTTTTTTTTACTTACTTTTATTGTAGCTCTAAAGTGTACTAGAATATGAACTAAAATTTACATGATTATTTTAATTACTCAATTAATTTGAAATCATAAAGTTTAAATATACTTAGATACTAGGATCGGATCCGCGCTACAGCGCGGGGAATGGTTTTGGGTTTGCTTTCTTCGCGAGAATACCAATTTATCTCTTAATTAATTTTTTACTTACTTTTATCGTAGCTCAAAAGTGTACTAGAATATGAACTAAAATTTACATTATTATTTTAATTACTCAATTAATTTGAAATCATAAAGTTTAAATATACTTAGATACTAGGATCGGATCCGCGCTACAACGCGGAAATTGTTTTGGGTTTACTTTATTCCGAAAGTGTTATATTGTATCTTTTATTATTTTATATAAAAATGTTTCTATCTGGTGTAAATGTTTTGGCAAAAGTGTGTATTCTGAAATGAAATACTAATTTATATAACTAATACAAATAAAAGATCGTGAATTAAATGATGAGAGATTATTATAATTAGTTGAATGTAATTCATAGATGTATTCAAATTTAATTTTGGTACTAACAATTTTCCAATCGCCAGTTTTAAGTTCACAATTACAATTGAATATAATTTTTTTTTGTTTATAAGAATGGAACACAGTATATATTACTTAAAATTTGTTAATTTAAAAATATTTTTATGTGTAAAATTGTTTATTTATAAATTTTGATTGTTTGTTGGGCTATGATTATGGAGTGGTCTTTTTGTTTGGACTTAATTTAAAGTTATATGATTATAATGCTTTTGGGCTTCTTTGGCCTTTATATTTTACAAATTGTAAACTTTTGTTTTGTGAATCAAAACTAAACGTTCAGTAACAAAAAAAAAAATAGATATCCATTACATCTCCCTTCTATAGAGGAGAGTAATAAGTGAAGTCAACAAAACTTAGCTATTTTACAGAAAAGTCAACAAAACTTTGTGATTAAAATAACTTCTTTAAAATTCAGGATTAAATCGTCCCAAATTTGAAAGTTCGGGATTTTTATGACATTTTTCCCAAATGTAATTAGCTTAACACTAAACCTAAGGCTCAACTTATATATATGTTGTAAATCATTTCTACAAGGAATAACACAGTCAATCTTAATATGGTATCAGAGCAGTGATATCCTAAACATAAAAAAAATTTAAAAATTTACGGCCGCCTTCTTCTTTCTCTCTTCTTTCTCTTCGTCTTCCTCCTTCTCTTTTCTTCTACACATCCGGCCATGTCTTCCGCGTCTGAAGTTGTTGCAACCATTGATGCCAATCCACTTCTCAACATCAATATGTTCAACGTGACGAAGCTTACTTCCACGAACTTCTTAATGTGGAAACGTCAAGTCCATGCCTTGTGCAAGGGCTATGATCTCGATGGCTATCTGGACGGCTCCATTTCTGCACCAGAAACTACGGTTACTACAGAGGGTAACACCTCTCCCAAACCTGCGTACAAACACTGGTTTCGTCAGGATCAGCTCATTTACTCCAGCCTCCTTGGTGCGATTTTGACAACGGTTCAACCACTGCTGTCCAAAGCAACGATCACGGCATAAATTTGGAGCTCTCTCAATGATACGTATGCGAACCCGAGTCGTGTACATATCCTGCAGCTTCGTGACCAGGTCAAGCAATAGACGAAAGGTACAAAAACGGTTCATGAATATTTTCAGGGTCTCACTACTCGTTTTGACCATTTGGCTTTACTTGAAAGCCATATTGCACATGAGGATCAAATCAACTACATTTTGGGTGGTTTACCTGAAGAGTACAAGCCGGTTCAAGAACAGATTGCGGGTTGTGAGAAATCACCAAGGTTGACGGAGATTCATGAAAAATTGATTAATCATGAGTTACGGCTCAAAACGCTTCTTGCTGCTTCCACCACGGTACCAGTGTCTGTAAACGTTGCTACTTACAAGAACTCCAACTCCAATAATCGCAATCAACAACGCCCACGTGGGAATCAATCTTGGAAAAATCAGTCCACTCGTAAAGACTCGTGTGGCTCACAAGGCAGAGGTTACCAAGGCAAGTGTCAGATATGTGGTGTTCACGGCCACAGTGCTCGCTGGTGCTCTCAACTCACCTCCACTGGTCGCGGCTACGCATCTTCAAGGGATGTATACATGCCTTCGCAGCCGTATCCGGCTTCTCCTATGCCATGGCAGCCTCGTGCCAATATTGCTATGCTCCCGTTGCCGTACAATGCAAAACCGTGGGTCTGTGACACAGGTGCAACGCATCACTGAACTTCGGATCTTGCGAATTTATCACTTCATCAACCATACAATGGAGGAGAAGAGATCACAATTGCTGATGGCTCAGGATTACCAATCTCACATACGGGTTCAGCTTTACTTCCCACTCCATCTCGTTCTCTGAAACTGAATGATGTCTTATACGTTCCCAATGTGTGCAAAAAATTTGATCTCGGTTTATCGAATTTGCAATACTAATAAAGTTTCTGTGGAATTCTTTCCCGCATATTTTCAGGTGAATGATCTCAACACGGGGGACCGGTTACTCCAAGGGAATACTAGGAATGAGCTATATGAGTGGCCAATTGATCGTCATGCTGCTAAAGTTTTCTCGGCATCACCCTCACCAAAGACCGATTTTTCATCTTGCCATCATCGACTTGGGCATCCTTCTCTTTCTACTGTAAAAGCTGTTGTTACTCAATACTCTTTACCACTTTTAAATTCTCCACCGAACACTCAATAAAAGTCACAAATTGCCTTTTCATACAAACACAATCACCTCTTCTCACCCTCTTGAGTATTTATACACGGATGTTTGGACTTCTCCGGTGATGTCTCTTGATCATTTCAAGTGTTATCTTGTTATTGTTGATCACTTCACAAGATATACATGGATGTATCCATTGAAGCAAAAATCACAAGTTAAGGAGGTGTTTGTGGCGTTCAAAGCTTTAGTGGAAAATCGGTTTGAGAGTAAAATCCGCACCTTATACTCCGATAATGGTGGTGAATTCCTGGTGTTGAGGTCATTTTTAACCGCACATGGCATCTTTCATCTTACTACACCGCCACATATGCCCGAACACAATGGCATCTCCGAGAGAAAGCATAGACACATTGTGGAGACGGGTATGGCTCTCCTTGGACATGCATCGACGCCGACTACTCATTGGCCCTATGCTTTTCCCACAGACGTTTATTTTAATCAACCGGTTGCCCACTGTTGTTCTCAATGGTGCAACTTTGTATGTGAAATTGTTCAAACTGTCTCCAAATTACTTAAAGCTGCGGATGTTTGGTTGTGTATGCTATTCGTGGCTTCGCCCATATCTCAACAACAAGCTAGAGATGCGTTCAACGACGTGTGTATTTGTGGGCTACTCGTTAACGCAAAGTGCGTATCTTTGCTTGGATTGTATGACTGGCCGTGTTTATGTCTCTCGGCATGTGCAGCTTGTGGAGTCGAGTTTTCCTTTTGCATCTCTGGATAGGCTCGAATCTGTGCCGTCATCGTCCGCTCATGCACCCGATTTAACTCCGGTTCGTCATCTGCCCTCGCCAATAGCTCATTCCTTGTCTCCACCGTCGCTGGTTCCTTCACCACCGCCCTCGCCGCCACAGTCTCCGTTGCAGCACTCGTCACCGTCGTCTTCTCCGGTGTCCTCACATTCCTTTGTGTCACAGTCGTCTTCCTCTGTATCCACAAACTCTCCACATCCAAGTCAAGAAATGGGCTCCCAAAATTCAGGCCCGTTAAGCTCCACTCATACTAGCCCATCCACAAGAAGACCCACATCAACAATTTCTCTTTCTTCGTCTCCAGCCGACCAAACATCATCCTCATCACAAAATTCTCATTCCACAACAGCCACCAGAAACTCCTCTTTTCCTCCTGAACTACCACAAAATGCACCTGAACCACAAAATCCACCTCAACCATCACCTCCTCAAAACGCTCATCCCATGACCACCAGATCAAAGAACAACATTTCCAAACAAAAACCAAAACTGAATCTCTTGGGCAATAAAACACCAATCATACCTACGAATGTGGCTTAGGCACTCAAGGATTCAAACTGGAGAAAGGCGATAAGTGAGGAGATTGATCCACAAATGCGAGAGCACACATGGGATATTGTTCCGCTGCCACCTACGAAAAACGTCATCACATGTAAGTGGATTTTTACCCTTAAATATAAACCTGATGGTTCTATTGAAAGGTACAAGACGCGACTTGTGGCTCGGGGTTTTAATCAACAATACGGTCTTGACTATTCTGAGACGTTTAGTCCGGTTATCAAGTCAACAACCGTTCGTGTGGTTCTAGAGGTTGCAGTGAAATGTAACTGGAGTATACATCAAGTTGACATCACCAATACCCTCTTACAAGGCACATAACAAGATGAAGTCTATGTCACACAACCTCCGGGTTTTGTTGATCGTGATCGCCCTCAACGCGTTTTTCGGTTGAACAAGGCACTCTACGGAATGAAACAGTTCCAAGAGCATGGTATCAAGAATTGAGGAATTTTCTACTTAAAGCGGGTTTCACTAATTCCTTGGCTGATACCTCGCTGTTCACGTACAAGCAGGGAACCCATCTGTTATATGTTCTTATTTATGTCGATGACATTATTATTGCTGGGGTTCCATCACTTCTCAAGAGTTTTAACCTATCTCTTTCTACTAGGTATTCACTTAAGGATTTGGGTCCTCTAAGCTAGTTCTTGGGTATAAAAGCGACTCGTACACGACACGGCTTACATTTGA